CAAAGCGTTTCTAACTCGCTTTCCCTCGTTAGATACGTTTTGAAACAACTCATAAGATCAATGATATCTGACAGACACTCGTGTAGTAATCTCTATATACTAGACCTAGTTGTGAAGCAGATAGTAGTGTATCGAGGCATACTAGACCTAGTTGTGAAGCAGAGAGTGTGCATACCGAGGTATACTAGACCTAGTTGTGAAGCAGAGAGTGTGTACCGAGGTATACTAGACCTAGTTGTGAAGCAGACAGAAGCATACCGAGGTATACTAGACCTAGTTGTGAAGCAGATAGTAGTATACCGAGGGATACTAGACCTAGTTGTGAAGCAGAGAGTGTGTACCCAGGTAAATTAGACCTAGTTGTGAAGCAGAGAGTGTGTACCGAGGTATACTAGACCTAGTTGTGAAGTAGACAGAAGCATACCGAGGTAAACTAGACCTAGTTGTGAAGCAGAGAGTGTGTACCGAGGTATACTAGACCTAGTTGTGAAGCAGACAGAAGCATACCGAGGTATATTAGACCTAGTTGTGAAGCAGAGAGTAGTATACCGAGGTAAACTAGACCTAGTTGTGAAGCAGAGAGTAGTATATCGAGGTATTCTAGACCTAGTTGTGAAGCAGATAGTAGTATATCGAGGTATACTAGACCTTGTTGTGAAGCAGATAGTAGTATACCGAGGTAAACTAGACCTAGTTGTGAAGCAGAGAGTAGTATATCGAGGTATACTAGACTTTGTTGTGAAGCAGATAGTAGTATATCGAGGTATACTAGACCTAGTTGTGAAGCAGATAGAAGCATACCGAGGTATACCAGACCTAGTTGTGAAGCAGACAGAAGCATACCGAGGTATACTAGACCTAGTTGTGAAGCAGACAGAAGCATACCAAGGTATACTAGACCTAGTTGTGAAGCAAAGAGTAGTATATCGAGGTGTACTAGACCTAGTTGTGAAGCAGAGAGTGTGTTCCGAGGTATATTAGACCTAGTTGTGTAGCAGAGAGTAGTATATTGAGGTATACTAGACCAGTTGTGAAGCAGAGAGTAGTATACCGAGGTATACTAGACCTAGTTGTGAAGCAGACAGAAGCATACCGAGGTAAACTAGACCTAGTTGTGAAGCAGAGAGTGTGTACCGAGGTATACTAGACCTGGTTGTGAAGCAGACAGAAGCATACCGAGGTATACTAGACCTAGTTGTGAAGCAGATAGTAGTTTACCGAGGTATACTAGACCTAGTTGTGAAGCAGACAGAAGCATACCGAGGTATACTAGACCTAGTTGTGAAGCAAAGAGTAGTATATCGAGGTATACTAGACCTAGTTGTGAAGCAAAGAGTGTGTACCGAGGTATACTAGACCTAGTCGTGAAGCAGAGAGTAGTATATCGAGGTATACTAGACCTAGTTGTGATACAGAGGGTAGTATATCGAGGTATACTAGACCTAGTTGTGAAGCAGAGAGTGTGTACCGAGGTATACTAGACCTAGTCGTGAAGCAGAGAGTAGTATATTGAGGTATACTAGACCGAGTTGTGAAGCAGATAGTAGTATACCGAGGTATACTAGACCAAGTTGTGAAGCAGAGAGTAGTATACCGTGGTAAACTAGACAGTTGTGAAGCAGAGAGTGTGTACCGAGGTATACTAGACCTAGTTGTGAAGCAGACAGAAGCATACCGAGGTATACTAGACCTAGTTGTGAAGGTGATAGTAGTTTACCGAGGTATACTAGACCTAGTTGTGAAGCAGACAAAGCATACCGAGGTATACTAGACCTAGTTATGAAGCAGAGAGTGTGTACCGAGGTATACTAGACCTAGTTGTGAAGCAGACAGAAGCATACCGAGGTATACTAGACCTAGTTGTGAAGGTGATAGTATTTTACCGAGGTATACTAGACCTAGTTGTGAAGCAGACAGAAGCATACCGAGGTATACTAGACCTAGTTGTGAAGCAAAGAGTAGTATATCGAGGTATACTAGACCTAGTTGTGAAGCAGAGAGTGTGTACCAAGGTATACTAGACCTAGTTGTGAAGCAGAGAGTAGTATATCGAGGTATACTAGACCTAGTTGTGAAGCAGAGGGTAGTATATCGAGGTATACATAACCAAGTTGTGAAGCAGACAGAAGCATACTGAGGTATACTAGACCTAGTTTTGAAGCAGAGAGTGTGTACCGAGGTATACTAGACCTAGTTGTAAAGCAGATAGTAGTATACCGAGGTATACTAGGCATAGTTGTGAAGTAGAGAGTAGTATATCGAGGTATACTAGACCTAGTTTTGAAGCAGAGAGTGTGTACCGAGGTATACTAGACCTAGTTGTAAAGCAGACAGAAGCATACCGAGGTATACTAGACCTAGTTGTGAAGCAGACAGAAGCATACCGAGGTAAACTAGACCTAGTTGTGAAGCAGAGAGTGTGTACCGAGGTATACTAGACCTAGTTGTGAAGCAGACAGAAACATACCGAGGTATACTAGACCTAGTTGTGAAGCAGATAGTGTGTACCGAGGTATACTAGACCTAGTTGTGAAGCAGAGAGTAGTATATCGAGGTATACTAGACCTAGTTGTGAAGCAGAGAGTAGTATATCGAGGTATACTAGGCCTAGTTGTGAAGCAGACAGAAGCATACCAAGGTATACTAGACCTAGTTGTGAAGCAGACAGAAGCATACCGAGGTAAACTAGACCTAGTTGTGAAGCAGATAGTAGTATACCGAGGTATACTAGACCTAGTTGTGAAGCAGACAGAAAGATACCAAGGTATGCTAGACCTAGTTGTGAAGCAGATAGTAGTATACCGAGGTATACTAGACCTAGTTTTCAAGCAGATAGTAGTATACCAAGGTATACTAGACGTAGTTGTGAAGCAGACAGAAGCATACCGTGGTATGCTAGACCTAGTTGTGAAGCAGAGAGTAGTATATTGAGGTATACTAGACCTAGTTGTGAAGCAGAGAGTAGTATATTGAGGTATACTATATATGTACTAGACCTAGTTGTGAAGCAGATAGTAGTATATCGAGGTATACTAGACCTAGTTGTGAAGCAGACAGAAGCATACCGAGGTATACTAGACCTAGTTGTGAAGCAGAGACTGTGTTCCGAGGTATACTAGACCTAGTTGTGAAGCAGAGAGTAGTATATTGAGGTATACTAGAGCTAGTTGTGAAGCAGACAGAAGCATACCGAGGTATACTAGACCTAGTTGTGAAGCAGATAACAGCACACCGAGGTATACTAGACCAGTTGTCAAGCAGATAACAGCACACCGAGGTATACTAGACCTAGTTGTCAAGCAGATAACAGCACACCGATGTATAGTAGACCTAGTTGTAAAGGAGACAGAAGCATACCGAGGTATGCTAGACTAAGTTGTGAAGCAGTATTCCAGAGTCAGAAGGTGGATTTCGGAAAGGTTATTGCAGGGACTGATATTTGCTTTGCAATGTTTAGTTCAGATGTAGCTTTCAAAAAGTGTTTAATGTCTGTTCGTTGATTTTAAGAAAGAATTCGATTCAGTTAACAGGACATTACTCTGATGAAGTGTGAAAGGCAGCTTAATCTCAGGATTAAGAAATATGTATTCTGACATTATATCCTCAGTTCGGCTTTCCGACTGATCAAATGGGGAGTATTTTGAATCTCTTAGTGGTGTACGACAAGGCTGTGTTTTAAGTCGTTTTCTCTTTCCCATGTATATAACATGCTGTCATACTGCAGAACGGTCTCATGGGGTATATTGTAGACTCTGATTTTAGGGATTAACTTGTACTGTTGTATGCTGAGGATCTAAATTTATTTGACGATTCTGTCATTGGTTTACAGGGGAAGATCGATCTCTTACATAGTTATTACTGATTTTTGGTCTAGAGGTATACCAGTTAAAACAGCAACTACAACTACAAAAGACGAAATTGCAGTGAAAATTATATATATATGAATCACTGAAAATGAGTGACGACACCAGTTACACATGCGCAGGCACAACAAATGTTTGTAACAGATACATGGTTACAACATCGTTCATTCATTTATTGATTCATCAGATAAATAAACATCAACAAACGAACAAGGATGAGAAAGATAAGGATGAAATTTGTATAGACAGTTGCAACAGATAAATATAATACACAGATATAATAGACATTTTACATGTAAAATAGACCCGTGAAGATTCCATGCTTGCCGTAAAAGGCGATCGGATGGTAAGGCTCGTTGACTTAGTTGGTGTATGTCATCGTATTCGAATTGCGTGGATCGATTATCATGATGTCAATCACTGGATTGTCTGGTCCAGACTCGATTATTTACAGACCGCCGTCATATGGCTGGAATATTGCTGAGTGCGGCGTTAAACAAATAACAAACAAACATGTAAAATACAATACTGCAGTTCTGTCAAATACACACGGGCCGCCTCCGTGGTCTAGTGGTAAAGCGTCCGCCCGGAGAGCGAACGGGGTTCGATCCCCGGCCGCGGACGCGGCCGCGTCATATCAAAAGACGTTAAAAGATACTACTTACAGGTACTGACTGGCGCTCGGCATAAAGGGGCCAAAACAAGGAGTTGTCGGCTCGGAGTCAGTATGACATGGTATCTCAGTGGGCTAGCTCTATAAATCGGCATCAGTCCGGACTAGTAGTACAAGCAGCCACACACACACGTGCATGCACGTAGCTATATAAGAGCCATATTGTACGCGATATATGTTAACTATAATCCACCCTGTGTGCACGATCAGCCTCCAAAGCAAACATCTTGTACATCCACCGATACCGGGATAATAGGGATCGGTCAGTTTACTTGGATGAGTTATTGGCCACCTTGTGAAAGGTCAGGACTGTACGTATTTAAGAATGCAGGTTAGAGAAAACTCCAGAATGTCCATATCATAGACAAACTTCGAACAGAATATAAACGTAGACTTAAGTTAATCGTATTCGTATTCTTATTCTTATTCTTTGCAATAAAGGTAACTATTTTTTCCATTTCCAGATGAAATGCTCCAGCACACCCGGAAAAAAGACTATTATATTTCTCGTTGTGTCAGTCGCTGGTTTGTTGGTATCCTTCATGTTAGGAAGAAAGTCAATGTCTCCTGGCGTGACAAAGATGGCCCCGATGGAAAGGAAGGTCAATATCTCCACGACGGCCAAAATGATTATCCATCTTGAGTCTGCTGACGCAGTATCCGGATCTGCTTTCACTTCGGATTCGTTGAACTCAACATCAAACGTCAGGTCAGGTTTCCCTCGTAATACCATACGTGTTGAGAAGAATACAACTAAACTGATACTGTGGTATTTGCGACCAAATTATGTCGTACCTACAAATGAAGGAGAGTTACGTCCCTTGAAGAACTGTCCAGATTTGAACTGTCGGGAAACAACGGACGTGAAACTGATATCTCGAGCAGATGCAGTTGTATTTGATGTTCATTTTAAAATCCGACCTGACAATAAACCGATCAGATACCCAGAGCAGACATGGGTATTTTTCGCCCAAGAATCCCCAGTTCACGTCAAGTCAAGATTGTACAGAATGGACAAATGGAAGTCTTCCTTTAACTGGACATGCACCTACAGACGAGATTCCGATGTATGGATGCCATACGGAATTATCCTAAAAAATCCGAAACTGACCAAAAAGGATTACCGTAAAATAGCTGAGAGTAAAACTAAAATGGCCGGTTGGGTCGTGAGCCACTGTTCATGTGAAAGCAAGCGCGAAGTGTTTGCAAAGCGACTGGTAGAGCAAGGTATTCAAGTAGATATATTTGGAGACTGTGGAAAGAAATGCGGGACCAGAAGTAAAGATGGAACAGAAACCTGCGAAGACTTGGCGTCCAGCAATTATTCATTTTATCTCTCATTTGAAAACTCTCTGTGTGACGACTACATTACAGAAAAGTTTTTCCACATGTATAACAAAGATGTGATTCTTATAGCACGAGGGGGGCGCCAGTTTTTAAAAAGTCTCCCGAAAGGAACGTTTATAAATACGGATGACTATAAAAATGTGAAAGATCTGGCAGCATACTTGAAACGGCTACACGAAAATAAAAATGAATACATCAGCTTTTTAAAAAGGAAGGATGAGTATATGGCAGTGGATGAAACGTTTACCTACAAACCTACTCCAACCTTCATATACACACATTCACAGTATATATCAGAACCCATGTGTGACATGTGCAGGAAACTCTTAGACATTGACAATAATAGGAACACATACCCCGATATATACCAGTGGTATAACGAGAATACTTGTGTTGAACCGACTGACCTTTAGATGTGGACATATGCGGTGGTCAGAGGTAATAATCGCGTGATATGTCAAAGGTGTGGCATGGACTACTAAACTGGATACGTGGATTAAATGGCCGAGGGTGTGCAGGTGTTAGTAGGTTACTTAGCTGCTAGTTAAGTACTTGAAAAAGCTACCGTTGCCAATGGCGATTAGCTGCTACCGCTGCCCGACCTTGGTAGTATATTTAGTTATAAGAAACGTTATCACGCTGCCAATACAAGCTGCCACTGCTGGCCTAAGGCAGATACCGCTACCCGGCCCCAGATAGCATAGCCGACCAAAACAGAAGAAGAAGAAGAAGAAGAAGAAGAAGAAGAAGAAAAATATTTTTTTAACGTGTCACTGGATGCATAAAATCGGTAACATTGCAAATATGGCATGAATTAAAAGTACATCCTCCGGCCAGCGTTTGCCTACAATACACGAATATACGTATTACATCAATAGTTAAAATATAAAATATAAAATATACATCAATGCATTGAAACGGGATTAATTGGGTAGTGACATGATATTAAGAAAGTGTGTGACAACGACGCTTATACATTTTTGTTAGTAAAACGGCTAACTTATTACATATTGAATCATTATTCATTATATGATTAAACTGGTCTGCTGGATGAAGTTGTAGGAAGGAGGGGTCTAAACTAGAACTGAACGACAAGTTCAATTCTGTCAAAAAAAATGATTTTTCAACTTTGTACACCACAATCTCATTTGACAAACTTAAGGGAAAACTTACGATCTTGATCCTCGTCAGAGATAGATTCTATGTGAAAATTGGGGTTTGGACATTTAAGCAAGAAGTCGGAATTCCCATGGGCACCAATTGTGCTCCCCTTTTTGCTGACCACTTTCTGTATGAATCGGATTTTCTACTACTGACTGGCAAATTAACACTCGGAATCTTACAATTTCTTTTATCAGAGATTGTATGGTATACAAATGGTATTTTTTCTCCTTTATTGTTTAAATAAGCCCATTTAGCATTTTTTGTGACAATTCTTCATTCCGTGTTCTGCATGTGCTGTTTTTTTGCGATGTTGACCTTTAGACTGCTGCAGAAATCAATCACAATCAAGTTTGAGAAGATTGTTTCGTTCATTCGATAACAAACGTTTATGATAAATACTTATAAAGCAAGAAATAAAAGAGGAACTTAAACTTTCAGAAACAGCACTGCTTGTTAATCCATCAGTCTAATTTTTAAGGTCATCAGTTTTAATAAAAGAAAAATTATCTAAACATGAAAGCAAGGTTGGCCAACTGTCCCAACAAAACCCATTCGTTATAAAAAAACATGTACTACGTCCTCCAAACTGTATTACGATTTACAATGTACGACATCTAGTCATTATAAAGTACGTTTCTTGACCTCACCTCTTCAAACATCTCCAACTGGATCGTTTGCTCTATATAGTCATGAGATTAGGCAAGAAGTAGGCATCCCGGCCCTATGGGCACCAACTGTGCTCCCCTTCGTGCTCATTTGTTTCTATATGCATATCGGAGTGGCAAAGTCAAACGTATAAGTCCCAAGCACGAGAATCTGATGGCACACAAGTTCAGTAGCGTTTATGGCCACCATGTGCGTTGACAACTGCCACACAACGCCTCCGCATGGATCCTGTGATGCTTGTGAACACATGAGTGGGAAGACGACGCCATTGTTGCTGCAAAATGGTGCCAAGATCTTGCAAATTCTGTGGTTGGTTCTGGAGAGTGCGCAGACTTCGAGTGTACGACATCTAGTCAGTATAAAGTACGTTTCTTGACCTCACTTCTTCAAACATCTCCAACTGGATCGTTTGCTCTATATAGTCATGAGATTAGGCAAGAAGTAGGCATCCCCATTGGCACCAACTGTGCTCCCCTTCGTACTCATTTGTTTCTATATGCATATGGCTCGGAGTGGCAAAGTCAAACGTATGTAATTTTTCCAAAGAACTTAAGCTTCAGGTAAATTGATGATCTGATATCGTTCAAATGGCTAATTCCCTTCCACTGATTTACCTGCCTGAAATAAGGGAATCTTGTGAGACCGCATGATACGTTTCATATTTACATGTATGCATAAAGATTCACTCTGTATAGCTTCATCTTCCCAATAGTGAACTTTCCCTTTATGTCGAGAAATATACCCGCAGCTCCAGCTCTTGGTATCTACATTTCACAATTTCGTAGGTACAATCGAGCATGTTCTTTCCACCCAGATTTAAAAAAGCGTCATACGACTCCAGCTCAGAACTTGTTACAACCTTCAAGACATCATTGAAGCTTTTCAAAAGGGTTAATGGTAGGTATGTAGAGGACACATGCTGTGCGATCCAGTCCTTTTTTTACTTATGTTCTCATGTTTTTTTTCAGGTGAACAATTTACTTGCCCTTGCATGTGTTTGTGACGGATATCACCGGTGGGACAGATACGCTCACCTTTTCACTAACATCTGTGGTCATCACTATTTGATAGTGATTCATAAACACATGGTCATGATACAGTCCAAAATGTACCACTGGCTCTGCTTTTGACAGAGATTTCTTATGAATATAGGATTGGCTAATATCCGAATTCATTCATGTTTAGACAATTTTTCTTTTATTAAAACTGATGACCTTAAAAAATAGACTGATGGCTTAACAAGCAGTGCTGTTTCTGAAAGTTTAATTTCTTCTTTTATTTCTTGCTTTGTAAGTATTTATCATAAACATTTGTTTTCGAATGACCGAACAATCTTCTCAAACTTTATGCACTTTGTGTACCTTTTGTGGTTGTCACGTCACACTAAATCAGTTTTAGAGTCACATCCCATCAATAAAGCAACACTACTTTGATATATCATAGCCATAAAACTCAGTATGCAATGCGTAAGCAACGAAGATTCGCGATTTACAAATGTGTTCCACTTTACATGACGGTGTAAATAATCACTGACCGACATTTTAGAAGCCCTCAGACAAACCAATGCAGCTTCGCAACCTACTAATGTAGGTCCACCTCTTGTGATCACTATACATGGCGATAAAGACACTGTAACATACACATATTTACCTGGTGGAGGTCTCAGATAACATACATACCTGGTGCAATGTCACAGGTAACATACACATATATACTTGGTGGAGGTCTCAGGTAACATACACATTTACACCTGGTGGAGGTCTCAGGTGACACACACACATATTTACCTGGTGGAGGTCTCAGGTAACATACATATATATACCTCGTGGAGGTCTCAGGTGACACACATATATATTTACCTGGTGGAGGTCTCAGGTAACATACACATTTACACCTGGTGGAGGTCTCAGGTGACACACACACATATTTACCTGGTGGAGGTCTCAGATAACATACATACCTGGTGCAATGTCTCAGGTAACATACACATATTTACCTGGTGGAGGTCTCAGATAACATACACATTTACACCTGGTGGAGGTCTCAGGTGACACACACACATATTTACCTGGTGGCGGTCTCAGATAACATACACATATATACCTGGTTGAGGTCTCAGATGACATGCACATGTATACCTGGTGGAGGTCTCAGGTAACAGACATGTATATTTTGTGGGGTTTCAGGTAACATACACACATATATATATACTATGGGGGTCTCAGGTAACATACACATATATATTTTGTGGGGTTTCAGGTAACATACACATATACTGAGTCAAATTAAAAACTTCCCATAATCCCATATATGATATACAACGGACAAATGTATCAGAGAAGGTAATTTTTAATCATTAATGTCCAAAGAAGGATTTTAATTAACGGTGGTAACCATAATTTGTTCCAAGCACCTACGGTATTCGGTAATAACATCAACAGTTTAAATCATAAGTCCCAAGCACGAGAATCTGATGACACACAAGTTCAGTAGCGTTTATGGCAACCATGTGCGTTGACAACTGCCACACAACGCCTCCGCATGGACCCTGTGATGCTTGTAAACACATGAGTGGGAAGACGACGCCATTGTTGCTGCAAAATGGTACCAAGATCTTGCAAATTCTGTGGTTGGTTCTGGAGAGTGCGAAGACTTCTGCCAAGAGCATCCGAGACGTGTTCGATGGGATTGAGGTCGGGAGACCTTGACGGCCAGTCCATGACGTTGACTCCCGCATTCTGAAGGTAATTCCTTGTCAAAATTGCTGTGTAGGGTCTGGCATTGTCGTGTTGGAAGATCAAACCGGGTCCATGTGCTGCCATTAAAGGCAGAAGTTTTGGTGCCAGTACCTGGTCGCGGTAAGCAGCAGCGTTGAGGTTGCCACGGATGACAAGAAGCCTGGAACGTGCATTGCCACAGAAAGCACCCCCAAGCCATGACACTTCCGCCTCGAAACTTCCTGTACACAACACTGGCCGTAACGTTCATGACGGCGCCTCCACACCCTCGCCCTACCATCAGCAAATCGAAGATTAAATCGGGATTCATCACTGAAGACGACTTTATTCCAATTGAGTCCATCGTAAGTGTCGCTGTGTCCACAATTGACGTTGACGTCTGTGTAATTGAGTCAGAATCGGCCCGCAGTATGGCCGTCGTGCTTGAAGGTGAGCAGTTCTCAGACGGTTTCGAACAGTTTCCGCACTCAGTCTACCCCTAAACAGTTCATTTCTGGTTGATGTAGCCGTCAAAAATCGGTTACGGAGGTGACGTAAGACAATCTGACGATCCTCGGCATGTGACGTCACACGTGGTCGACCTTACCGAGGGCGATCAGCGGTGGTACCCGTTTGCTGTAGACTCGTCTGTAAATCATAAACAGTCCGTCGACTACAACCCATCGTCCTTGCGACTTCAGCTACGGACGTTCCTGTCTGCAACATGCCCATGGCACGTTCATGTTGCACATTTGAAAGGCGTGGCATGACAAATGGCCGTAAAGACTTTTGTTTTCTTGTGTTTTTCTTTTTTTGTTAATGACTGCTAACAAGTATGGCTGAAAACATGTGCGGTATTGTGGCCACGTGACCAGTTGCACGTGAAAAAACACTTTTGCCACTATAGTGCTGTGCACATGATTTTCATCGATTCACCTGCACACAAACGGGTCTTATCTGTAGACAATACGTGGCCATTACTGTTTAAAAACACACTAAGGGCCCACAATGATAACTGGTCAAAATGTTAAAATTTTAGGATTGTGAAGTTTTTAATTTGGTTCAGTATATATACCTGGTGGAGGTCTCAGGAAACATATACATATATACCTGGTAGAGGTCTCAGGTAAGCTATGCATATCTACCTGGTGGAGGTCTCAGGTAACATACACATATGTACCTGGTGGCGGTCCCAGGTAACATACACATATATACCTGATGCATGTCTCAGGTAACATACACATATGTACCTGGTGGCGGTCCCAGGTAACATACACATATATACCTGATGCATGTCTCAGGTAAGATACACATACACATCTGGTGGTGGTCCCAGGTAAGATACACATATATACCTGGTGGAGGTCCCAGGTAAGATACACATATATACCTGGTGGAGGTCTCAGGTAACATACACATATATACCTGGTTGCGGACTCAGGTAAGATACACATATATACCTGGTGGAGGTCTCAGGTAACATACACATATATACCTGGTCGCGGACTCAGGTAACATACACATATATACCTGGTGGAGGTCTCAGGTAAGATACACATATATACCTGGTTGCGGACTCAGGTAACATACACATATATACCTGGTGGATGTCTCAGGTAAGATACACATATATACCTGGTTGCGGACTCAGGTAACATACACATATATACCTATTGGAGGTCTCAGGTAACATACACATATATACCTGGTGAAGGTCTCAGGTAACATGCACATATTTACCTGGTGGAGGTCTCAGGTAACATACACATATATACCTGGTGGAGGTCTCAGGTAACATACACATATATACCTGGTGGAGGTCTCAGGTAAGATACACATATATACCTGGTGGAGGTCTCAGGTAACATACACATATATACCTGGTGGAGGTCTCAGGTAACATACACATATATACCTGGTGGAGGTCTCAGGTAACATACACATATATACCTGGTGGAGGTCTCAGGTAACATACACATATATACCTGGTGGAGGTCTCAGGTAACATACACATATATATCTGGTGGAGGTCTCAGGTAACATACACATATATTCCTGGT